CTCCCCCTTTGTGAATAATTCCACATTACGCGCCTGTGTGGCGCACTTATTTAACCCATCTATAGCTCCTCATTCAAATTCGTTAATCGGTGTGAGATTCAAGCTGTCAGGGAATCTACATGCTGCTTCAAGTGGAACATAATCATAATCGGGCAAGCAGTGAATTGATGCCTTTTGTCTCCTTACCATCACGACCGGGAGGTGGTTGGTCATCTACAGCCCATTACTTTTCGTGTGATATGATTTAGCTCAATTGGGTGCACATTCCCGAAAGTGTATCAAGGGTTTAGAAGTAGGCGGTCGTCAAACTTATCAGTCCCAGTATTTACAGCTGTAAACTGTCTCATCGGACGATCGATACAATGAATAAATAAGGCTTGTCAGGGTAAACCTAACATTCTCATAAGAATTCCCACGGTATTAATTTGAAACGGATATAGACCAATCTCCACCGTGGGAAATGACCGTTGTTACTGCATCCGTGAGAACCAGTGTAATGAACATTGTACAGCAATCCGATTGGTCCATTCCCTCCACTGGCGCTTTCGTAATATCCATTCTGGAAAAATAAATATAACCCGGTTCTCCCTTAGTCAATGTACTTTTCCCTGGCACTTCCAATAAAAGTTTGTATTGTTTGCAATTGACTTTTGACTGGAATCGTTGGGATTGTATCGTGGGGCACGATTTGATGATAGTCTAGCAGACACAACACTTTTCACCGTCCCCGCCCCCAGAATGTGCTGAATGTGACACGTAAGAGTTTGACGTTTTCTACGAGAACAGCGAATTTGCATTCTTGGACGTTGTAATCCAACGATGCCCAGCTGAGAACGGTTTGTCCAAATGCACTTTGAAAGTCTTGTCCCAGGCCCTGCAGCTTCCCTTTAAACTTGGTTAGTATGGTCGTTAAAGATTTTCCCATCTCCCTATCTATTAAATGCATTACCTTTTCATCCTTTGTTGGCTGAATCGTTAGGGAGATCACGCGTGTCCGGCCGATTGTTGGAAAGACCAGATTCCCCTTATTGTCAGCCAGTATATTATCTATAATCTGGTTTGCCGGTGCTGACTGAATCTAACGATACCTGGACACTAGAGCCATATAGGATATTTCTAAATGGCCTGAAAGCTCTCTATTGGGTTGAGCTTGAATTTCCATGAAATATATATTTACAGCGCATTGCGCACACAGTCCATCTCAAATCCGCATTTATCATCATCAAGTCATACACGAACCCACGCAGCTCTCGGAGCCTTTCCGACACCAAGTTTATCGGAAGTCTGCACCCGGCACTTTGTCCACAAAAGCAAATGCGAGGGACCCATGTTTCTTTGGCCGCGTAGTATCTCATGTGATCTCTACGGATTTCCTCATTATGCAACGTACTTATCAGCAAATGTCCTATTCGAGCCTACTACTGACTGAATTGTGATCACTGAAGTGGAAAGATGTCACTGCCCTTGTTCCGTTGATTATTCGATCTCGTGAGCACTTACAATGTGGGACTCTTAAGTGCGAAGAAAACGGTTGTGCACAAGAGCTCTTACTAATTCGGCTTAACATGTCCACAAAGCGATTTTCAATATCAGATTAGTTGCCGAAGATGCTTAAGTAATAAAAAAGAAGAGTGGAATGGTTGCGCTCGTTTTTTTCACTCGACGGGAGCTACCCATTCGATATCGCTAACGCTTGTGCATACCTCTGGGAATAACAATCCGGATAAGATATCGTGGCTGTAAACCTTGAATCTCATTCCAGAATTCGTTTATTATGGAAACGAACGACTAAAACATTGGCACGCGGATGAGTACAATGAGGATGTCAGAACAGTTCTTTCTCCTATTGACAATAAGACCCCGGATACCACCTTGATTCGGCTGAGGCTGCAACCACATGCACACACTGATTCACACATATACACCTGGCGAAGAAAGTATTACATCCACCTTTTGGGTTACCTCCATTCCCGAATGCGCGATCTCGGCCATTTTGAAGAATTTATAGACGGTAACGGAATGAAAGGCCGAAATACGAAATTTCATCAACTTTGAAAGAAAAACAGACTTCTTACCTCATCAAAAGTATCGCACCCCCGTTCACTTCACACACCTAACTCGGTTTTAAAACAGCCGCAATGGTTCTCCCGAGTTTTTACTTCGACATGGCAACCGTGACGAGTCAATGGTTGATCAACTGGCTTAAGCTACGCTCATGTGACACCCTGGGGACGGTGACCTTATGCTCACATCGCTCCCAACAACCTCAAACGAACAAAAACATCCACGTAGGTTACTACAACCTTGGCTCGGGAGAAGGGGCTAACTGATAAGGAGAAATCCGGGGTTGATTTCCTTCGCCAGATCACTTCCAACATACGTGAGATGGTCAAGGGTGCAATAGGTCCAAATCCGATGTGCGAAGCGGGAACAGCTAAAGACCTATAAGCAGTAGATTTGACTTCTGATAATGCTCGTTGGAAATGATGGCCGCAGATTGCTACGTATGCCCCATACATCGGAGATGAAAACAGTCTTTCGAGGTGAACGGTTCAGTGAACACTTGAAACGGTTCCTTGGACGAAGCACAAGACAACAAAAGGAGTTTTACTGCGAAGCGAAACAAACTGGACTTGGAAAAACGGGTGGAACTTCTTCCATTTGAGCGACAAAAATTACTTTAATTTAGATGGACTCGATACGTTAAACCACGATTGGTATGATCTGCGGAGAGAGAGAGCAATACTTCGGTAAGCGGTTTAACGATCGGAACCTAATGATGATACGGGGTGCCTTAACAAGCAACGGTTCAACCCAACTACACGGGGCACAAGATTCTGATGCATATAGTCATATATTGGAGAGGCACCTTAGGTCATCAGCGGTATCGGATTATCACCCTGAAGTCATTTTCCAGCATGACATCGCTGTAGTTCGTTACTCATATCTATCAAAACGCTGATTAACACTTCGCACCATCAAAACAATGGTTTGGCCTGTATACGGTCCAGTTTTCAACCCGATTGAAAACATTTGAGCTATTCTTACCCGGGAAATATGAAATGGAGACGCTGTTAATCAGGGAGTGGAATAATACCAGCAAAAGCCAGATTCGAAATCTTATGGATTGTTAAAGGGCTTCCAATAAGTAAAGTCCATTGGGAATGCAATACTTGTGTTGTGACGAAAATGCTATTTTTTGACATTTTCATAAAAGTAATTAGATGAACTTTCGCATTTCGGCCTTTTAGCCGGTTGTCGTCTATATGTTCGAAAATGGCGATGATAGTGCACGTGGTAGCGGAGATGACCTAAAAAGCTGGGTGTGTGCGATACCTTTTCGCAGGGTGCATATATGCACCTCATCACATTGATTAAGTAATCGATTCCCTCCATCTTGTTGCCTTCGAAAGCCTAAGTGTGATCGGGATGCGTGTCGTGGGTTGTGGCCGGCCACCCTTCCGTTGCATCTCACGAAATGCTAACATACAACCCAGCGCCTCAAATAGCCTCTGCTGAGGAAGCCCTACTCTCTGCATTCACATGGCGGTGTTTTTCCACCAAAGTGATAGGACGAAAAGCCAATATCCACTGGCAGTTCACCAAGGGGAGTTGGCCAAAAATCCTGATCCCAAACCAACCAAGAAGAGGCGTACGAACCACACTTACGTCTTGGCTGTGGCAGTGACCACCGGCTCGATCGGGCACCTTGGACGTTTAATCTCGTTGAAAGGGAGTATGATCCGACCAACTGGACACAGGCCTCCAATGGATTGCGGTTCTCACAAACCGCCCCACTGCCTTGTGGGTCAGGCTTTGGTTAGTCGAAGGCTCCGGTTGTGAACTCCCAAAGAAAATTCGCCTGCCTCGGCCTGGGTAACCTATCAGTATGACAAAGTATTGAAAATTGGTTCTCGTAGCTCGGATGAACTGAATTCTTTTTCGCCTGTTCGCCGAGCTTGACAATTTGTTTGCAAACGTTTCATCACCAGCCGAGGTGACATCAGCAGTGCTTGTGAAGTATTCTGCTCACAAGCAAATCATGGAACGCTTTTATTTTTCATAAAGATTAATGTACTGTTTGTTTGGCACACAGTCTGGATTCAGACGTGTGTGAGAGATACATACAAAAGTATAAACGTCTTGTTGCTATTCGCTTTGCATGAGCTTTATCGCGTTGACCTGTCTTTAGTTATCCGTGAACCCGCTAACAAACACGTGATCTATAATCAGGTCTGTTTTTAAATCACAACTAACGGTTTCCGGTTTGTTGTGAAATGATTTCGCACTCGTGTTCATGTAAATTTCTCCTCCGAACAGTCATATAACCCGGTTATTTCAACGCAGACTAAAGAGGTACTTTCGTATGCATCTGCCGATCTTACTGAAGTTTTCAAAACGTATCTGTTCTTATCAAAATACATTCAGCGAGAGAAAAAGGTTGAAAAACAATACAACTTTGTTTCTTTTCAATTTCTTTGTTCCATTAAACAAACACAAAGAAATCTCACAGTCATCATCTAAATGTTCAATGAACTCACGATAATATAAATAACCAGGTACTAGATATAAGTGTATATATATGTATATCTGCATATAGCCGACCCAGGATGCCAGCTCACGATGCACGCGGTCGATTTGCCTAAGGCTTTTGTATGTATGCAAGGCAGCTCGGATATCAATAAATAGACTCGGTATTATAAATCGATGGATAAAACGCACAAAATAGGTGAAAGCTTTAAGCGAACAGAAGTTGGCGGGATTAAAAAAGTGAAAATAATATTGATTTTGAGGGTCACATGTACACGAAATCATAGAGGGGGTTTGGGGACCAGAGGATTTGAGGAAAACGGGTGTCGGGGCGATAGTAAAAAAATGTGCGTGTTAGCGGTCTCCCTTTCAAGAGAGTTCAGTTGATGCAAAGGCCAGACAGTCTTATTGATCTAATTGTTCGTGCGTTTGCGTGTGTGTCGAATTGCACAACAGAACTGTCTATCTATCTATCTTCGCGAATTCGTCGCATAGGGCCATTGAGGTCGATTACGTCCGTGGTCTGCTCGGGGCTGAAACACTCCTTTGCTATCAGGTTGATCGACAAATTTGGACTGGATCGATGAATTTTGACCAGTATGTTGTGTTCTTCGACTTCCTGACCTACTAGACCCCGTCTGGTGGGGATTTTGCGAGGTGTTCCGTTTTGATCGACCATCGGTCGTTCCATCTCGATGTGATCGATTGGTTTCCGCTGTGCGAGTATTCGGTGCGTACTGGACGGGACTTTCTTTCGCTTCCAAATCCAATCGCGTCGAAGATGCCCGTTGACAACGATCTGTTTCGATACCACTATACCGATCTGACTGACGTGTGTCCCGACTGCGCTGTTTGTACAGACGTTCTTTAGTTTCGTTCGTGGTCGACACCAAAGACGGAGCCAAACAATTTGTACTGAAATTTACCGACTGAGGTTGGGAATTGGTCACATGTGCCTGGCGGCTTTTCCCTCGAACTCTCCTTGCACTGGGCACAGCCACTTGGGAAATTTGTTGCCCGAACATGGGATCACAAATCCCACTCACATTTGATTGATTCCAACCGGCACTTGTGCCCGCACGACCGCTAATCATCGAGTTGGACACACCCAGTCCGCTCATCTTTGATGGGTGTTGTTGTAGTCCGTAAGCACGCAAATTACTCTCCAATTCATTCGGCTGTACAGAAGCTACTGGGAATTGTGTATCCGCATCCATCTCTCGGTGTGCAAAACACAGACCGCACAGTGTGGTTTTTCGTCGCGGTCGGGAATAGAGAAACAGATAGACTTGTAGCAATATGAATCCGAGCAGCTGGACAATAGTGATAATCAACAGTGAGGGCAAATAGTACCACACTTCCGGATAGGTGAAATAGACGTACCACGCACCAACCATTGATGCATTTTCCAGATAGTAGAGAAAGTAGTAGATAAAGTATCTTGTGCGAGTAAATTTGGCCTGAGCGTTACAAAATTCGAACAGTCCCACATAGGCAAACATGAGGTCTGAGAGAAAATTTCCCGAGATGCTCGAGCGCTGTAAGTGCAAAACCAAAAATCAAACACGGATGAGCCACCTCTCACAATTCGAGCGCAACAGGTCAGGAGTAATGATGAGAAAATCAATACAATACAAAAGAAAAACATCTTGACCGGTATTGAGACTATGCGTCGTTCATCAAGCACAATTTGACCAATCTTTCTGATACTATTGATTACACACTTGGCGTACAAGACGCTTTTCCCAGAAACGATTCATTCTCTGCTGACATCTCGGGTCTGTTTTTCCGTTGTCTGAGAAATACTCATAATCGTCCGTATGGTTCAACGGAATTCACCGATCGCTACCAAACTCATAACATACAAAGTAATTGAGAATGTGTAATCTGGACGGAGACCGAACCTCTTTGAAGGGGAAACAAAAAGGTGAACCTCTGTGGTCAACACAGAGTACACAATTCAAGTTTTCGTACATATCTTCTCGAGCATTTTGATAAGGCGTGACAACAAGAACGCCACTGGCGTCGGTTCGTTGCCATGGTTTTTAGTGTCTCTAACTAGTCAATTGTAAAGCCTTTAGGCCCCCAAGTTGGAAGACAAGAGATACCTACTTCACCCAAGCGCTCTGTGCATGCCTCATTTCCACATCATCTATTGACCTCCTTGTGGTTTCGTCCAGATCGAACGTGCTACAGCGAATAAGGCTCTGTGCGGTAGACGACTACTGAGCATTCGCAATGCGTGTCCTAACCAGCGAAACCTGCTAATCTGAATTAAATATGATAACGAAGTATCCACCGAATCATTACCAAATACTCCTTGGCTTACTTCAGCGTTACCTAAACGCTAGTTCTATCCTACAGCTGCCAAGCAGTGGAAATATAGACAGTCGAAGACTTTTAGACAATGAATGCCTTCCCATTTTATATCTTGCAACCGTCAATTAGCGGTACGGTGTACACGACCTTTCACGTTCAAGAAAACCACTTCGGTTCCAAAACTGTTTCAGCCCTGCGTACGATGCTCTTGCTTTGGAAATGTGGGCGGTTACTGCCTTTAATCCGATACAGTCATTTATCACGCAACTACCCAAGTAGGAGAAATATTCCAACATAACTAGTTCTTGACCGCCAAGCATCAGAATCGGGGTAGATGACACCCAGTCTTGCAGCATCACTTTGCACTTTAGAGGTGCAAAGCGCATAACAAAGGGAGTTACAGAGCTGGCAAGTCTGTCAAGATCGCTTCGCACATTCTCTATACATTCGAACTGATAAACGATGTTGTCAGTGTACTGTAAATAGCTCAACTTTTCTTCAGCCACCCATTCAATACCAACATTTTGTAGACCACTTATTGCGTTCTCCAGTATCTCATCTAAGTCGAAGTTGAATAGGAATGGCGAAATAGGACACACTTGACGAACACCACTGCTGGTTTCGAACGATTTGCTTAGCTCACCTTCAACCCCTGATATAACAGAATGATGGCAGCAAGACACAGTTGAACCCAATTCGTCTTTCAGACCACTACGTAATTGCCATGCTAAATATTTGGCGATTAGTGAAGCACTTCTTATTTGATTACATCACCCGACCTTATGCGCACAAAAGTTTTTGATACAATTAATCCACGTACCGTGGAGTTGACCTTCTACTTCTAAATTTAGTAATCTTTGTATGCTTGTACACGTTCGTTCACTATAATTGATTAATTCCATGTGCTATACATGTGCCTGTTTGTTTTAAGTCCTCGACTGAGAAGATTAAACGAAAGGTTACTATCTTGCGACATTTGTCTTCTTTCTGTTTTGATAAAATGGATAAAGGGAACTCAATGCTTCAAGTACAATGATCCTAATACACACTTCTGCGTCATTCTTTCACGAAGCAGGGAACCAATTAGGGATTCCAAATCAACTGAATCGAAGGCTTCTTTCAGATTAAATAACACTGAGATTGTTGGTCGATAATGTGTGGCCCAATTTGAGGAATGGACAAAACGTGAAGATTTGGTCGATTCAACCGCGACCTGTTCGGAATCCTGCTTTCTGTTCGGGAAAATTCATCCCCATAAAGGGCGCCAGGTGCTGAATTATCACAGAACATAAAATATTTGTGGTGATCGAAACTAAAGTTATCCAGTGGTGGTTTGCGCGGTTCATTCTTAAGAATGGGACCGGTCAAAGATTTATCCCAGGATAAAGGGATACGCTTCTTCAGCCGGATGCTACAAAGCCTTTATTAATAACAAGGAACTAACCGCAAGGCAGCTGATAGGGCGAAATGGGGGCCCATCTGCTTGGATCAACGCGAGTCGAACCCTCACCTTGGAGGACCGGGAGATTGGGCTTTGACTGACCTCTGCTCTTCGACTTTCCAGGCATGCTTAAATCTTTGGCTTAACAAAAGCCACCATGTGTAGCTCGTTGGGTCACGGAGATGCACAAGCCATCACACCACGTCAAGGTGCAATCTCATCCTGATGGATCACTCACTTCGACCCGATGGTTAACACAAATCGGCAGGTAACCATGTAACCTTGCCGTTTTCATCTGTTTTATCTCAAGCGAACAAGAAAAAAAAACAATTCCCTGACAGTACGATAGAAACGAATACGAACTTTGAGTAACTATCTGGATGCTATTCATCGCAGTTTCCACTATGTTCATAGTGTTGATTCGCTGTTTATTCTAGATGAAAGGTATACATCCTCATGCTTTCGCACACTTCCATCGATCAAAATCAGATGTACTGCAGCGTACCCTCAAAGTTGCCCAGCGAACGGTGTTACTGGATCGTAAAGTCGAGTCGTCTATCTATGCATTCATCCGAACGTTCAGACAGAAACCGAATACGGTTTGGGAACTTTCGATCCAAAAACCTAGTTTATGCAGGGAAACGTGATGCCTACGAGTTCACTACCTGAGATACTGGCATATACTCGTAAGTGGCACCACAAAGTCAAATTGGCAAACCAGCCGGTTTTTAGTATTTCATTTACTAGACGATCAATAATACGATAATTGGAAGTAAATAAAGCACCTAAAACGAAATTTTATTTCACTTTGAATTCTCAAAATTATGCTATCTTTTAGCTCGCCAGCATCTAAGATACAGTTCACTATCCTATGGTCTCAATCGAACGCATCCCATCAACCCTGGTATGCTATATCAATCAAACCTAGCACGCTTGATTTTTAAGTTATATTCGACTCAGTTACTCATGAGTAGTAAGGCGAGATAAATCTCATTTGGTATAATAAATTCAAACCTGCAGCGAATACCTAGTTTGGTGGAAGGCTTTCGATTTGGGCTAACAGGTAGTATTCTGTGTCTCCTTTCGTTGCCGTCGGGTTGAAAGAAATGACTGATCATTTGTTAAGATAACATTTGAACGAGTATAAACTGGTATTTGTGGTCAACCAATGTGTGAGATCGTTGGCATATTGGTAACACATCTATGCGATGAGTTCGGAAATCAAAGCCCGAACAGGACGGCTTATATATAATGCTAATGAACTCTGATGAAAGCGAATTTAGAGCTTGTTGGTTCCTGAATGTATAATTGACTGGATCAACGGAAGATTACGTATGAGGTTAGAGTCTGAAGGATGGTCAGTCCAGATCAATATCGTTTATCCCACATCACCACGCACAGGCAACTGAGTTGAATACGAACTGTACTGTCCAAGTTAATTGGAAAACCGATACCTTGTTGGTTGTAATTTTCAGTGCTAATAAAGGTTCAACGTGAACGAAAGAGGTGGAAACACTAGAAACACTAGCTGATTATCAGGTCGTCCTACCAAGAAAACTTGACTTGAGAAAATTTTCGCAATCTTGAAGAAGTCAAAAAAATGAAGTGCTAAATAAATCACAGTTTGGTGCCACGTGATAGAGCTGATAGTATGGATGTCATTCGACGACGGTTGTGACGCATGTAGCAAGTTGGCTGCATTCAAATAAATAATATTATGATTAATAATACGCTTTTACTTCTCTATTTTGATTGCGTGAACTGTTACAACCTATTTTCAGAAAGAGGATTGCGGCCAATCAAAGAAAGAGTGCCCGCAGTCATACAGAAATAGTTTGGTTGGGCGTTGGCGTTACGATTCGGACATACGATTGCTTGACCAATGCAACAGTTTCCCATACCATTGCACAACCATCGCCAACTAAGAGGACTTGAGGAAGAGGGTACGGAATCGCGATCAGCTTAAACGATAAATCAAACTAGTTGAATGTAGACTTCTTAGTGGATTACTTACCGACAGGAAGGAGATCGGTCTTGGCTCTGTGCTGGGAACGTTTCTTTTATCCCATGTGGTAAGCCATTGGATAAAATAACTCAAATCAGACAAGGGCCAAAGAAGCACTGGTAACAAGATAAAAAGCTTTACGCGAAGGACTTAAAAGTGGGCGAAACCCTACAGATCAACCGGAAGTGAAATCATCAGTCATAAATAGCAGGAACTAGATAAACTTGCTCCAATTGATGCAACCAAGCGGACGAGACTTGGTATACGGATTTAGAATCGAATCGAAACTGCCGGATTAGAGAGAATTCGCGAATGCGGCCGCTTTGAATTTCCTTTTACTCTTCAATCAAAATCGGCAGCCAAAAGACAGCAACCAAAGCCGGTGCACGAAAGTGCATGGTTAAAGGTTGTACAGGCTGACTTCTTCATTTGTCCGTTCATCTCTATTGACTTTTGGTTGACGATGCACATGTATTCCAGTGGCGTAACATTCACGAGGTCGTGTAAGTGTGTGCGTGCATGTGAATACAACCGAACGTATACCCTGGCATACTGAACAAGCACATAAGCGCTAGCTTTCGGGGCAGACTAAAAACAATAGGAGAAATAAGAACTCACTCCAATTGTGCTTGGATTGGAATAGTCGGTTCGGGTGCAACTGCGAGCGATCACAGTCATGATCCAGACACAGACAAAATGAAATGCAATCACAGCCAACACGATGTAGTAGAATTGACCGGTGAACAGGATCAGTGCACCGCAACGCATGGACACATGAATCATGTGAACGGTGAACAGGAGAATCAAGCCTCCTACAGGGACTTGACCGATTCCTCGCTCGTGTTCCACCTCAGACTGCTCGTAGGAGACCGGGTAGAAATGTGTGAGTGTGGCACAAATCCACACAGTGGCGAAGATCATGCAGCTGATAATACCCGAAACTGTCGTTTGATGAGAATGAGGAAAAATGAGCATATCTTTTGATCGTAGTCCGGAAGTGAGAACAGTCGAATTATCGCACTTTTCTCGCCTTCAAATGGTACAACCACGCGCTAGGTGTAACACAATGGTTGTTCAACAGTAACCTTATACTATTCAATATTCAGAAATTCTCTCCTTAGATAAGCCAATCAATCTAGTCAGGCTAATTATTCACCGGGATTGACTTAAATCAAGCAAACGATACATGAAACCATATACATGCATCGTTGAAACAGCTTCAGATTTAAAATAGTCAAGTGGAATAAAAACATCACTCTTTGCAAGTTATTTGTTCGCTGGTATTTAAAGTAGTCTGATTTCAAATGGTAAAGCGAGACCGGTAAAAACGCGAAAATGTGTCGCCAGGATGATTGCTGAATAATGATCTATTCTGACAGGGAACTGAAAACGGTGTATGGATAAGTCCAATTTGATCTCGTAGATTGCCGAATTGGTCGTCGAATTGCCCTCATTTGTAACCTATGAAGCGGTTTCGTTTGTTGTGCGACAGTTATGTTTGTATTCTGCTTGCATGTAGCTGACCTATGACAAATTAGAACGAAACATACTGTTTTCAGGCAATCGGAAATTCCGGGCTTAATTGTTACTTTAAAAAATACTGTTTCGCCTCAAATTACCATGCAGCTGTGTGTTTCAATATTCGGACCCATTGACAACCGTCCGCAGTGTGAGACTTATCACCTACACATGAGGGGTTCTGATCTCTGCGCATTATCCGAACAGCTATAAAACTGTTTTGTTCACCCACATGTAGTAAAATTGATCGCACACGAGCACTCTGTAACTGCTCCACACAACTGCACCACTAGTCAGTCAAGCTTTGATCGACAGTCTGTCATTTGTCTGGTTTACCAACTCAGCGTGAACTGAACTCGGGGTCTCCAAAGAGCGTATGGACAGACACATTGACAATGGATGAGTAGAACACGCACTTACCGGTTGTTCGAGCCATGGCGAAATTCAAACCGATTCTTCGAAATAGTAGTACACCTTGGGCAATCATAAACGGGCCAGCACCGGCCACTCCGCTGGCCAAAGCCACATAGGCTGCATCCCGTTCGGTTCGACGAAATTGACGGCGCACTTTCTGCACCTTGATCAGTCCGACATTCAATCCACGCAACCGATTCGCATCCACTGATGAGGAGTATAATTTAGCAACAGCCGAATGAATGGACACAAGGATTGCTTATGGAACAGAAAGCACGACAGTGTGATGCTTCTCGTGCAAAACGTAACCATGGCGACACAGTCTCGTGCATACGGATACTTTAAAATGAACTTGAATGGTTTTCCGCCTATTTTCAGTACGTATCCTCTCTTGCTCTCCCAACACAAATATAGTGTGAAGATTTGTTTATCGAAACTCACGTGATAGTCAATCATATCTGAAGTTGGGCAATCAAATGTTGCTAGGTGATGCTCCTCTACGGAACAATACCTTTGATGTGTTCCACATTTGTTTACATTTACCTGCATTCAAATTCACCGATGTGTTAGAACGTGAAAACTGGCAAGAATATCCATTTACGTTTTTGCTTCTGTTAGCCGAATGCCTTTGAAATGTATGGTTTCTCGATTTTGACGGTGGTTGATGGTGCAACAGCTGTAAAATAGCAAAGCCACAGTAAAAAAGATATGACTAGAATTTATTTATCAGGGTCTGTGGCCGGATGTTGTCTTCTCCTGGAGATGAATTCTGGCACAGCGCCAATAGTTTGTTTTTAACCGTTTCAGATTTGAACGTGCCGATGGTCAGTTGGGGGTATGGGACACTTGGTAGAAGGCGTGGAAGCTGTAATCCACCTTTGTTACCTGCAGTGAATACTTTGCAGAACTGGAGTTTTAGGAATTCGGATGCTTCAGCAGTAGTAGTGGAAACGCGTCCTGTATGCCTTAGTGCCGGTATTCCATACTTCGCTTTTCTGGTAGCATTGAAATGCCTATACAGTAGCGTTAGCAATAAATTTATGTGCCAGAGTTTCTTGAAACCTTCGTTTATCCTCTCGTACTAATTTTACACAAAGGTTTCTCAACAAGATATAGTTATCCCAAGTGTCAGTAGTCGGACATCTGAACTCTCGCCAAGAGAAATTCCTCTAAGATATCCATTTCTTGGTTCGACTACGGATAGGTGATAATCATGTAGGCAACACACCGACAGGCTTGGTTTTTGTGGCGACCATTATGAGTTCTGTTAGTGTTTCAATGAATCTTTTCCGGGACTCCAGTGGATCTAGCTGCTCTTCTGGTTGTGTCCATTGTTTGACAGTAGCAACGTTCAGCAATTCATTGTTGTCAATAACTGTGCGTGTGGTGGTTTTCAGGCATATGTCTACTGAGGCGTGGTAAATGTAATCGAAAAGAAGAACTGCATGGTCGCTTCATCCTAATGGAGACGTTATTTCGACCGATTCGACCATAAGCTTCTCGCTTGTCAATACCAAGTCCAATGTTGATGGTGGCCTGTTCTAAATTTGGTGGGATCCTTTATGTGATCATACATCGAGTGTGAGTCTATAAAGTGTGATAAGTTTCGCTCGAAAGGGTGGTGATAGTTCTGGATTTTTTTAAATTGGGACAATTGAAGTCTCTTATTATGAAAACTTGAGTGAACTTTAGTGAGAGACTATTTCTCATAGGATGTAAGAGTGCCTCGTTAGCTAAGTCTGAGGATGCAGGAGGGCGGTAGACTACACCGATCAAACAATTTATATCTTTGGACAGCCTAATTGTGCACCAAAGTGTGCCGGGGGCTGCATCGAAGAGATCTGGTGGTTCACCTTGAAGGTTGCTGCGGAAATATAGCAGTACACCGCCACCTCGTGTAGAACGATGACGCCTCAGCAGTGACATTCCGGGTAGGTGCAATTCAGAATCGAGAATATCGGCAGTCAACCAAATTTCGGTAATGGCAACAACATCCCACTGGCCAGTTTGCAAGCGCGTTGGAACCTCAGGGAGTTTGCTAAGGAAGCCCTATGCGTTTGTGTAAAAACAAGCTAGGGAGCGTCTGTTTAGTAATCCGCTGGGTTTCGAATCGTTATTTATACCGACCACTTTGCTGTCGGCTAGTAGTAGTTTTTTGGGGAATCGGTTCTGCTGCTGTGGGCCCCCGAAGAATTAGAGGGAAGTGGAGTTTTGTTTTCTAACTGTGGACATCGTTTTACCTCACTATTCAACAGTGGTCTGAGGCGTAATTCTGGTGGTGCTCTTCTTCTGTTTTGATACCATGCCTGCAAGACCGATGTGACCATTTCCGGGGTATTGAGGGTTACTTTCATAATCCTCGGGCCGTTTCCACGGTAGTTTGTTAAACACAGAAGTCGACTGATTGAGGTAGTGAAAATATTATGGCAGCCAATCAACTCTTGAATATACCTCCGCTCTTTACAATCGTTTTGTTGACATGTGGATTCATCTGGATCGTTTAATTTCGGGACTCCCTGAATCAATACAATTCATTTATTCTCCGACTCGCGTGCATCTACTGGGTTCGTGCGATGGCGCATACGTTCGGTTCACGGTCGAGCAGGAAGTATTCTTATACGACTGGAAACTTTGCTAAGAAGCTAACTAGAAAAAAGAACGTTCTCGACATCTTTCTCATCCTTCAAAGTAACGCGAAGTAATCTGGGTTTCCCGGTGTGAGTTGAGGACGGTCCAGTGACCAAGCTCTTCAACTTGTCTCTCCCTCAGTGAAGTTGCTGTCGCCTCTGGTAAATTAGTGCAGATAACCGTCAGGGTGGCGTGATCAATGGTCCGCTTGCGGTTTTTTGACGTATGATTTACCTTCGGGGTAGATACTTTGGACTCAGTTTGACTCCCAGAGCCTGAAATCCAGCTTGGTATGTGAAGGAGACCAACAACGGAGTATTCAGTATTTACTTCCCTTTCAACTGGTTAGGCGGGATGGATATTTACTTATTTTGGTCATTTTTCCCACATTGGTTCACGTCTTGATGGAGAAATTCCGTTGGTTGTGCAGCAAATGGGGCTCATGCTCACGTCGAAGCATTTGCACTAGTCATCGGCCACTCGGCCTCAATTATATGCCAAAAGCTTTTGAATGTTTCACCCAATTTGAGTGTGGTGGCACCACGAAACGCACATCTCAAGGTCAAAGTTTATGTTTCTTGGAATATATTTTGAGTTCTTTCGGTATTCGGAATAATATGTGAGTAGTTTGCAGCCCAATAATACAACAATTTATTGAAGTTAGGATAACTTCATTTATTTGTTTATTTACCGTACACTGAATGAAAAGAGATAAGCAATTTAGAATACATGTGTTCAATTTAAGAAACATTCTGATGAAACAGGAATCATTCATTAGAAAGAATGAATTTCCATGATGCTTTGCACAAAATATTTTCTAAATCTGAGCTGTAACTTTCGAACTACTGCAAATTTTATCGCGACATAAGAGGTCGCGCAAATTCAAACGGTGATAGAAGAGTACGAAGAACATAGAATTGGGAGATAAAATCAAGAATAAATACCTTAAACCCGTAGATATCGATATAGTTGTATGATATTGGAAACTGAAATGTTTTTCGAAATTGAGAAAGATGTTGCGCGGGTGTGACCAACCCCTGTATATATCGCGGAATTGCGAACAAACATGGTATAAAGGTGACACCAATAGTAAAAGAAAATAAAAAAAGGTGGATACGGTACAGAAGGGGACCACGTGAAAAACCAAACCTCACTGATGATATGTTCATAACACTGGGAATTCATGTGTAAGCACATATGTATGAATTTTTGATATTATTCGCTCACTCTCTCTCTCTCTCTCTCTGTCCCTTCCTCTGTCTTTGGGACCATTAGACGAGAAACGAGCCACGGAATAGTATGCATTCATTTCTTAGCTGTAGCCCCTTTTGATTGGGTTTAAAGACGCAAAACAAGATACCATTTACGCTACATTTGAGATTTGTGCTTGAAGGACTGGTGCATTTTAGATTTCCCTTGAATTACCGTCGTCTGTAATAGGACTTTAAAAGCACACCATAATATGCGTCAGTTACATTCGTCGTACCTAACCAGTCGTTATACGCATCTACAAAGGGTAATATGTAAGGAAAGAAAAAACCGTCGTCTCACTAGCGCAAACGATTGACGGAGAGTAACTGAATGTGATCACGGAGGTGATAATATGAAAGAGGATCTCAAACACGTCGGTATTAAGGTCAAAACATGCCATTCTATTGTGGCCACGGATCGGGCAATGACACTCTAACCTTGTTCTTGTAACGCGAATTTCAGTGACCAGATCACAAAACATTTGTAAACCTGGTGAACAAAAGGATAATGAATGACCTCTCAGACACAGGGATCAGTGAGAATTCGATCGGTCGATTGTCCAATGGACGCCATTATTCGGCTAAGAAGTGAACCACTAAGCCTAAGGAACAGCAGTCAGAAATTATCAAATTGAAACAAACAGAATTCCGTTTATAAACGCTTTTTAGAGCGGTGGATACATCCACAGTTCAAGGGTAATAGATACAGTTCACAAACATATCCCGGATTACGGTTATCATGATTCACTTCGCACCATTTGACACAGTTACGACGATCAAGTGCCCGGAATGTAATCGCTACACCTCAATTGTTTACCAAGCTTTGTAACATATGAAATATTGAAATTTAAAAAAAAACTTTTCAACATTCGTTAACCTCAGAAACTTCTGATGCAATTTGATCTGACTGGTGAACGGCGACATGATCTAAGCTTGTGCGTCCCAATGAAAGGACTACAGGTCATGGCAGAAAGAAATCCGAGTTTTGACTAAGGCTTGATGGGAAAAGGTGAAGATCACTTGACCCAAGTGAGGAAAGGTCACATCGACTAACATGCTAAACATTCCTACATACACGCATACACTTCCATTACTCTCTGTCTCCGAATATTGACCTTAAATTGAGCCAATCGCTATCATTATGTAAGAATTTTTTCACTATATGACATATAAGAGCATGACTAGGAATATCCGAAAACAATTGTTCGCTCACCGACTCGTTTTCTAAATGCTATCATGGGAATAGTCAAGCTTTTGATCCATGAATTGTGCCAGAGCGAAGCTCATAGCAATAGACCATAAGATTTCACTCAATGACCGGCGCCTAAAACATACAATCGATCGCACAAAGAGAGGACCAGGTCAGACTAAACTGTACGGCTAATGGATGACCCAAGGGGATAAGTACAAACGCTCTTAACGGATCACTCACTGGAATCCATACTGAAATACCCCATTGCATGACAACCCGATTCGATATAACCAGCGACATCGGAAAGCAACTGCAGACTCGTCAATGTTCATGCGTCACGTGAAACGCCATTCATTTTCAGGTTGTGTGCTCGTGAAATTGCGTATTTCAATCTGCGATTTACCGATTCAGTCAACGTTCTTGTCTCCTCGGCATGGACATACAAACCAATACGGAAGCGGTCTTTCAACGAATAACCGATGTAAACTCATCTTGATCAATAACTTACACAAAGTATGGTTTCTAATCTGTTGAACGTCCGTTGGAATGGTTTCGGAAAATGCAAACAAATACCTCTGTAAGTTTGATTGTTCTGAATACGACTTGTGTTCCAGATCGTTCATTTGACCCGGGGGATATCCGAACTGCCCACATTCTATAGTAGCATACACGAAGTGCTAGCTTCCCAACAAACTTCCCCGGTTTGTAATCGCATTGAGAATCAAACGAAAATCCATCTCGGCCCATAGTTTTGTACTGAAATGTTTTATCNGTTTTATCCCCCCCCCCCTCTTTGTGTGATGAATAGCAGACGGGGTAAACCCCATAGTCACGAGATCCTGATGTTCAGAGATGGAAACCGGTAACCTAAGCCCCGGGAATTGGAGTAGCGAAACACATAAGGCCCCAGTAGGTCAGGGGTGCTATTGAGCCGGACGACAACAAAGCTGCCCACCACCAAAGTTGGTTAGCAATGGTGGGGCTCGAACTTCGGACCACAGGGTCCAAAGCACGCTGGTGACAGCGACTAAACCACTGCACGACTACATACGATTACTGCGGACAACGTGGGTAACTTCGAAACAGACTGCACCATTAGAATCAAAACAATGCAATTGGCGTGGGGTTGCGATTCCCCCTCCCCCACCGCCAAAAACAAAGTACAACCACAACTTACTTGGTGCGGATGATGTGGTTTTGTGTGAACTGGTCGGATGTATACTGGTCATTGGGGCACTGAGCAATGAACCGGCTGGTAAATTGGACGGCGGTTTGAACTCTTTTGCGTACGCAATTGCCTCAGCCATGTACTGTTTCTCGAGTTGGAGCATTCGTTTAACAACGACCAGAGAGTCAATATATCTGCATTGGTGAATGCGCGGAGGTGGGGGAGGGGGATAAAAACCCAAAGTAGTCGAGACTGATTTTTCTTCGGCAGAAGTATCACAGTATGTAACAAAAATAAACAATAAATCATCACAAAATGATTGTCTCGAAAATTTAATCATTCCAACTGTACGGGTTTGTCTCATCTATGCTCAAATACCGATGTGTGCATTCATTGTTTCAAGTATCAGTGTCACCCAATTGTTCACCCATCTCTTTAGTGACCTTACTTAAAGCCAATAAATCATGCAATCATAACTCAACGACAGTTGTGTGAACAAAACATACAAAGTGTGCTGGTAATCCACAACTGTTGTTCGTTGTTTTTTTTTGCGATGGTTCGGGGCAAGGGACATGAGTCTGTTTCGATCACATGGCTTGCAAGTCTGCTGCAATGGGACCAGACAAATAAGGTCGGCAAGTGTAATCCAGATGAGTGCACCGGGTGTGATCAATTTTATTTCGGCTCTGTTTTGTTGCCAAGCCTGATTTATTCCGAGTGATAGCACGACTGAGTGGTTTACAAGACGAACTAGTCCAGCGTTGCGTAGAATATTTACAACGACTGACCCGTACAGAAATTTCCCCACGTCTGCAGCAATACGGTTCCACCTCAAATATAAACTGCCCCCCCCCCTCCCAAACACCATCACTTGCTCCTATGGAGCGAGCTACATCGACCGAACTATCAGCCAGCTGTCAAAGAGGATACGCGAAAACCAAGCCGGCTAGAGATACTAGGGCATCGAAAAGTGCTATCTGCCAATACGAAACGGAGACACAACACTTAGTTAATGTTGAGTGGACTCTCAGCATCATCAATCATACGCCTTCATCTTTGTCAAAATGAAACCGATTTATTATTCTATTGACAGCCGAGGCGAGCAATATCCAAATATTGGATCCCTGCCCTATGCAATCGGAAGCACCTCGTTATGGCTTTAGCTTTGTTATGGTCTCGAATGAGAAAACCCAATAATATGCCCTATCCATTAATGACTTAACCGATATTAATGTAAGATACACAAACTTAGCATAGCTTCAATCACTTATCAGACTTTGGTTTCAATATTCCGATGCATGAACCGAGGCACCAGTATTGCTGAAATCCGAAAATAGTCAAAATCTGAGAGGCCCGAATCGAAGTATCAGTTTCATCACCGTTCGTTTCAAACTACCAATCAATCGAAATCAATGCTTTTATATGCTTAGCATCTCCATAGTAGTTAAAAGCAGAGACTTCGTCCTTTTTGAATCTAACTTTGTGTTTAACTTTATGTTCAGAGTGTGCAGCAGTCCTGCCAGTACCCAATGGTCCTATATAATGCGTGGACATCACTGTTGACGGAAGTAGAGCGCCACAAACGATCTGCACTCGAATACTGGCTTCTCCACCGCAGTCTGAGGTCAAGGCGACAAGTGGATAGGCCATGCTGAGGTCAGCCTCTGTTCGGTGAGAATTTGCCATCTCGTGCTTGGTATTCATAGATTGCGACCACTCAGGTGTGCATTTCAAACCTCGCCAAAATAGCTTCTTCAGTACAAAATGTTCACTTTTATTTTTTTCCTTTTATTAAATATATATTTATAAGATTTTCAGTAGGGGGAAGCGGCCAATCAAAGGGCTACCGTTCAACATAACATGGGGAAGTCAGTCGGTGGTGGTAGGATTCCAAAAACACGTCCTCAGGGGCGATAATTCGGTGAACCTTAACACTCCGCCACCACCACCTCTGAAAGGAGTATCTATCGAAAAGAGCAATATTCTAAATAACATGATAAGGAATCAAAGTTCGGAACGATCAATAAACCAAGTGACACATGTTGCCGGGGCGAGAAGTCAATGGTGCGATCCTGATGAGGGAAAAGAATGTCGAAGACATTGCACGGGAATCGTTAAAATTGCCCCGGTGTAGCTGTTCACTTTGGGTATACACCTCAATTTCTAAACTTTCCATTCATATATTGGTCGAATGGGTTCCTAGAAAACAAACAATTCAAAGTGCAGGGCGCAGGGGGAGGGGCGTGCGAAGTACACTGAACGGAATAAACAAGGCATAAATTATGAGGTCGCACGTGGTGGTGCAAATCAAATCGATCGAGATGTTTAGGCAACAAGACAACAACCACCCGTGGTGATTTCCGTTTGTACCCTATCGATAAATGAGATGGAAAAGGAGCAGTCACAATCTACAGCTTATTTGTTTATGGAGAATGATGAAGTAAAATCCCGCTAGTGTAAAACGCGTAGGAACGAACTCAACCACAAGGG